ACACAGACAAGTTGCTACAAATTGGTACTAATACTTTGGGACTATATGGGAGGTTGTAGTTCTGCAGACCTATTCCTCACTTCATTGCGGATAGTATCACATGTCTTCTTCTCGTCACTCAGATGCAAAGAACTGAGAAAGGCGGGATCCTGGCCTTTGCAGGCTCTAACAGAGATGGTTCGTGTTGCCGGAACCTTTAAGCTTCTGGCTCCACGATATCTTCGAGGACACCTGCAACTCTCTTGTCTCTAGATTTATCATTGCGTGGTTGATCCAATACAACAGCTTTCTTAGCATGCTATGATATATTAATAAGAGTTCTGGAGTTCGTGGAGGATATGTCAGTAGCTTCACACCATTATATATGCTCGTTCCCTCTCAGTAGTAGTTCTCTAACTTGAAAGATGAGTGGCACTGAGATAACACATTTTCGCTCCATATAATTATAATTTGCTCTTACATAGCAGAGTAAGTATCTAGCTATCAATGTCAATCTTGGTTAGTATGAGATTGTTCGAATCCTATCAACGCTCTATGCTGTTATCATCTATAAAACCAACAACTTTGGTAAGAGAATAAACATATATACGGTTACTGCTAAGGCAATAGATAATAGACTCATTATTGAGCTGGATAGTAGGTGTCTTAAAACAGTCAAGTAGCGTACCGGGTATGTCCTGGTTCCCAATAGTTCCAACATAAACGAAAAAAGCGATACGTTGCTATTGGACCACAGAACCTGGATGCAATGTTCCACTAGCCTTGGACATTTAGAGAAATAAAGGGGTCTGAAACACTTGATTTTGGTCTCCTCGCTAGCAATGGACAGCCGCTCATATCACGACCAGTACACGTTTTCTTCTCTTTTCTTTTTAAGCAACCTTCACTACTGCATATTTTGGGCATTTGCGGCCTACTATAGCCGTGGACCAGGATCATTACCAATGTCAATCTCGCTTGTCTTGGTCCAATGACACAAATTACCAAAGCAGTCTTTAGCCATAGCATTAGTCACAGAGCCTAAACCAAGACAAAAGTTGTTGCTTGATTTCCTTTCAAACATTATCTTGTGTGAACCATTTAAGGCAGTCACTGTTTCTAGCAAACCTATATTTCATGATAAATTTGCCAGAAGTAGAAGATAAATGCACCAAACGGTGCCTCGGAGATAAAATCTCGCCCAGGGCTTCCAGTTCCCAAATTTCTATCACCCTTGCTACCCCCGCAATGGGGTCCTCGTCGCTCTTTCCTTGATTGCAACTCCTTGATGCAGGCCTTATAATGCGTTTATTCGGGATTTGGATCTTGATTTCCTTGTATTTACTACTATTTGCCTTCTGAATTATCCCGCAAACAGTTGAACGTACCTCCCCACTTACAGTCATTTGTTAGCTATCCGCTTCATATTCAGCCTTCAATTACTTGCGGAGGATTTGGATTGCGTACAGGTCGCATTATTCGCTCACCAGTGTGCTTTCGACTATTGTCCTGCAAAGCTTTGTGTTGCCGACGCTTGCAAACCGTAACTTTTGTGGCAGTGCTCTCAACTTACTATCCAAAAATGTCTTCGCACTCTGATGCCCCCATCAAACCGGGATGCAAGCAATGTGAAGATGGTATTATTGATAGTGGCACGAGTGCTACAACACCCACGCTATATGCTGAATGTGAATCATCAGTAAGTAATTGAATGAATACATCTTAGAACAACCCGAGACATGTTGTCTAAATAGCCTTGACAAATATCTAGGGCCTTAAGCATTCGAATGTTTCGAACAGCCCTTCAGATTGTACAGTATCCTCCAAAATTGGAGATTGTCAGGTCTCTGGAAGTGACAAGAAAAACCCCCTGTCGAACAAGGTCAGATATGCTGGAACTCTCAAGGAAGTCAAGTCACTCACAATCCTAGAAGCAGAAGCTGGAACATCTAAGCAATTTCACTTCTTCTGGGCACTCCGAGATGGAAAAACTCCTAGCAAAGCTCTCGCCTAAGCCGCAGTCGACTACTCTGAAGTATCCTGCAGATCAAGAGATCGTTGCAACATTACCGGACAGACAGGATTTGCTCAGAACACACACTCACACGTTTCCCCACCACAGGATTCTTTCAGGAGATGATTCAGGGCTGATTACAGCCTCAAGTATTCAGCGACCTAGGGGTGTACCGCACTCGGTAGATGTTGGAAAAACAGAAACCGTATCGGTCGATATGTGCGAGGTACTACGTTTAAAGCAAGAATTGCTTGTCGCTAATTCTAAGATTGCCCTCCAGGAGCAGGAACTGGCCCAGACACGCGTGATTAAACATACCTTGGACCAGGCACTTGGGCCACCCTCTGAAACCGACTTCAATGGAGAAGTCACAGAACAAACGATAAGTACTCTCCAGAGCGCCCTTAATTCATCCAACCCAACATATAGTCAGTTGCAAGCTGAGTGGAATGCTCAGGATGATTCGCAATCAGATATGTCCGATGCACTCTCCGCCGGAGCATACAATAGAGCTCGGGGGTACTGGAATCCTCCCACGCAGCAAGCGTGTAGTACGGCTCTTAGTGCCCCCATTGCTGAAAGATCATATGGCGAGCCTATGTCTTTTCCAAGTGGTAGCTCACTCGGGGGAGATGCGAATCGATTTTGGGGTAACTCGAGCACGAATCCCAGCGTAGCTGGACACGACGCTTTTCGATCCCATCGTGTGTTATCAGGGCCATCAAGTGGGGTTTACGCCTTCGACACAAAAGTTCCTGAAGAACAGGTGAGATTCCTCGAAGAACCCGGGCTTGCGCCACGCCGTTCAATCACTCAGGCCAGCCGCACTGGACCATTTTTTCAAACACAAAGCTCTGCTTGGAGTGCATTTAGTCCCAGCTCTTCTGAATCCCATGGTCCGAGGTCCCCTGTGAATAGATCCAAAAACACATACCAACATGTCGGTCTATTCCCCATCCCTCAATATCATCAGCGACCTGTTGGGACACCACTTTCACCCACGGCGACTGAGTTCACTGCTTCCAACGCTAGTGCGACGCAGTGGCCAACTTCCGTGGTGAGTAGGAGCTCCAATGAACTTGTTAAAGTACCAGGCTTATGTTGCCAGGTGGGAGGTAGTACCCACCAAACATACATCTCGCCCCTCGAACCAATCAACTACCGCCGGCTCCTTGACAGGAATGTTTCTTGTGATTGGAGATATATCGTTGACAAGATCGTTTGCAACAATGATCAACAAGCGTCAATATTCCTGCAACAGAAGTTGAAAGTAGGGACCACAGAGCAGAAATATGATATTATAGAGGCCATAGTACACCAAGCCTATCCCCTGATGGTCAATCGTTTTGGCAACTTTCTAGTGCAACGATGTTTCGAACACGGAACTCCAGAGCAAGTCGTGTCAATCGCCAATGCGATCAAGGGAAATACTTTAAGCCTCAGTATGGATCCCTTTGGCTGTCACGTCATACAGAAAGCCTTTGATTGTGTTCCCGAAGAACATAAGGCAATAATGGTTCATGAGCTTCTACGCAGAATCCCAGAAACTGTCATTCACCGGTATGCCTGCCATGTCTGGCAAAAACTCTTCGAATTACGTTGGAGTGGGGAGCCACCCCAGATAATGACCAAAGTAAACGAAGCACTGCGTGGCATGTGGCATGAAGTCGCCTTAGGTGAGACAGGAAGCTTGGTAGTCCAGAACATCTTCGAAAATTGCGTTGAGGATGAGAAGGTACTTGGTTTTCTTATACGTCAATTCCTACCACGGTCATTCCTATTCAACAAATCATCCCTCTAGTCCTATCGTCCTCTCGATCGTTACACCTCCCAGGAATTGGATCCCTGAATATCTGGCATATTCTACTTGAGGCTTTAATGAATTGCATGAGGAAATGTGCTGACAAAGTCTACAGCGTCCAGCGATTGAAGAAGTGCTAGCAAAGATTGATATGCTTGCACACGGTCAATTCGGAAACTGGTGTATCCAACATATCTGTGAGCATGGTGCTCCTCAGGATAAAAATCGTGCAATAGAGCACATTGTCATTTGGTCTGTGGATTATAGCATGGATCAGTTTGCCTCCAAGATTGTAGAGAAATGTTTGAAAATAGGGGGTACAGAGTTTCTGGACCGCTACCTTGCTCGAGTCTGCACCGGCCGAACTGACCGTCCGAGAATGCCTCTGATTGACAGTAAGTCTGATGCGTATACCCTTCTTAGCCTAAACGGAAGGTTTCTGACATGAAGTAGTTGCTGGGGATCAGTATGGAAATTATCTAATCCAATGGATCTTGATGAATGCTGCACCACATCAGCGTGAGCTGGTTGCCAGCCATATTCGGTACAGTCTTCCCTTCATTATGGCATTGCACAGGCCTAACCTCGTATCTACGAAGGAAACATATGGTATCTCTGCGGGGTTCCAAGTTTGGTTCACGTGTGGCTATGCTCTGCTGCAATCCCTCCCATACAACTCGCCCAGGACCAGGTTCTGGGATGCCAGTCAGTCGCTACGGTAATTTTAATGAGGACAGATTCCCGATTGCTGGACAGCATGGAGGCCGTTTCAGCCGAGGAAACCAGTGGAATCCCAACTATCCACCATTTCGCTGAAGGTTTTCGAGGATGTACTTTTGCGCTTCGTTTTCTAGCCATATGCTTGTTTATTCACAAAAGGTATCGTTTTCAATTCGACCAGGGTAGGCACCGAGCACCCCATATACCAGGATCTGGGATCTCGAAGCGTGTTTCGACAACGTGAAGTTGTCTGACATATTTCTTCATAAACGCCATTCTAGTCATTGTGCAGGAGCTAAACGACTTACGCCCTCAAGGCGACTCCTCTTCTTTTACAGGTGCATTGAGAGGAAAGGAAGATGAGGACAGAAGAACGTGAGGGGGGAAATTCGAGCAAGCGAAAAACGTATCAAAAACGGACTCAAAAACTATAGTTCCTATGAAGTTGCTGGAGATTCTAGTGCAGGTCAGGAGATTGGTTTACGAGAACGAACACTTCTAATTCACCTACTAGTCGTCGGGATGATATTTTTATTATGAACTGATGTATCATACCAGCCGCTCATTTGTCCGAAGCTTGTTATCCTTCACAACCCTGCGATTTGCAGAAATAATGATATTTGCATGCTGACCATAACTCCGGACTTCATCAGAAGCCACCCATTGGCAATGTAGATTTTCAGGTCCCGGACAGTTGCAGCCCATGGATTTATCGCTGAGCACTTAAATCCCGTCATTTGCTAGCTATCCCTTTCTCCCATGGTTTCCGCCTTTCTGGCTTCTCGCTCGGTTTGTCATGGCCTGTCAAGACGGTGTCTGGAATTTGCTGGATTCCAGGGATTGGTTGACCGGTCGTGATGAGTTCGACTATATGAGCGAAGGATGAAGGATATGTAGGCTCCTCTTGAGACTTTGGAACGTCCACTGTAGGGCCTGGTGATGAAAGGTCGGCTGACTTAGATGTTGATGCTGATTCCAACCAAGCTTTGTAGGTCGAGAAATCGAGTGGTGGCGTGAGCTTTTCTTTCCTGAGAACAACAAGGCACGATGACAGAAATCAGCACCACGTACTTGTATATTATCATGAAATGGCGTATGCATATGCTATGATACCGGGGGTCGCAGGTGGATACAGAATTTATGTATACCTTGAGAAGTAGAAGCATTTAGCTTGTAGTGTAAGGTCATCACTGCGATTGATTTCCTCTTCCGATGCAGGTGATTCCGGATGGCCTAGTATGATGGAGAGCCCAACTGCAAACTCACGATCCGAACCGAAGGGATATGAGCTCAACCTTTCAAATAGCTCGATATCTGAGGACTGTAGCTCTGACATGCTGTGACAAACTGCTCCAGGCTCAAACTACCTAGTGGGCTTATTCGAGGGGTCATGCAGGTTCAGGAATATGTTGCGCGGCCTCTGGCACTCGAAACGAAGGCGAGAATTCTCCCGGTGTCTCGAACAGAGTGACTGCTTCTACTGTGCAATCTGTTGCTGTTTCTCTGCTGCTCAACTTCCTCGTGAATGATGCCAACGGGGGAGTCCGTTATAAGGGCGCCCGGGACCAAGATTAACCGAGGTCCATGCAGATTGAAGATTAGGAAATAGTTTAGATAGCTTTACTAGGTAGGCTGTGACGTACACTTTGGTCCTTTGGCGGGGTTCCCGCTAAAACTCGGACCTATCGGGGTTAGCAGCATGGATGATCTTTCCTATCCAGCAATAACTACTTCGTTTGACAATATTTTTCTATCATAGCTCCTTGTCAATCAATTGGGAGGAGTCGGAAGCGATGGATTGGAGCGTCTGGAATAATCTGTAAATCGTCATATTTGCTATTTCGTGGTCGCAACTCCACCATGTCGAAGAACCGTTCCATCATGCTTACATATTCCAGAAGATATCCTTTCTAGTTAGGTGGCATAGACATACTCTACAGAATTTGATGGCCTTATCCGCACCGACATCTCGACTGATAATAATTAGAGAATATATAGTCCGCCTCGGGCCCTATGTCACTGTGTTGGACTGTTGGTTAGTTTGACAGCTTGATTGATAACAAACTCGTCGCGCTAGCGAGAGCGATGGCGGGGGCATCTATCCAACCGGTCGAGAAGTAAGCCCCGTGGTCATTATATTGATATTTTATTCGAATCAACCATATGATCATGCAGAGGTATCCATCCTGTCTAGAGCTTCGCGGTCCTGAGAGGGCTCAGAACTCGTGGCAACTATCATCTTGCTTTGGCAGCCAGGGCAGTTGTGCACAACCTCATGAGCGAAAAGGTCACAGTCAATGCAAAAATGGTTTCTGCAAACAGTACATTCATAGCGGCTGCTTACGCTTATTCCCTTTGTTTGTCCCTCTGTAGTATGCCACTGCTCCTTGGGTGGTACTGATGGAAAGGATATCCCACAAGCGAAACAGACACTACTGCGTGAAGCGTGTTGCCACGAAACTTCCACCCAGTTCATAAGGGGAAACAGATGGTGATACGACCGAGCAAGATGGGTTGAAAGAATCAAAGTAAGACCACAGGAAGGACACTCGGCAGGGAGACCACAAACCTTGCTGTTGCACCGTGAGCACAGATAGCCCCCACGAGAAGGCTTGGAATGGCATGCACAAAGTGAAGGGTAAGCCTCAACGGTTCGTGATGGAAAACCCATCATCAAGAGAGAGCTTGTGGACTGCTTCTGAGAGTATGTGGCTGGTGGTGTTGTCACATTCATCACAAGGTCACGGAAATGTTGTTCATTGAGTGCTACACCGTATGTGGTATCGTCGCCCCCGTTAGTCTTGCCACAAATTTCGCGACAGATTGCCACTTGAGCAGCAAGGCCCACGATTCCAACACGTATTTTATCATTTATAAGCGTAGTAATTGTTTGGTGAATATCACCGGGATCAGAGGAAAGGAGGGAGCCAAAAATGACGAAGATCTCACGGGTGCCATGGCTTGGAGTATGGCTGTTGCAAGACAAATTAGTCCACCTTATCATTGAGTGTGTACGACGCTACCGTGGAAAAGACATACAACAAGGCACCACGAGCCATTTCGAAGCCATTTTGCAGACTAGGAAGACCTTTCGGATCCTGGTCTCGCAGTGATTGGATGGCACTAATATGCTCAGTAGGGTTTCCACTCATATCACTGACTCTGACCGCCAGTCCATCTTTGAGGCCAAGAACGCCGAGTTGAGAGATGGGATTTTGCTCGAAAAATTCCCTCACGAACTCTTGTGCATACCGTAAGGACAATAAGTAACGTGTCGGTCGGAGATCTTTCTCGGTCATAGATTGTGACAGATCTATAATCAAGATGAGATGACGGATTATACCCCGTTGTAAAGGAGTCGTATCTCTGAGGAGCCTGCAAGCGCGAAGACATGGAACTCAGCTCGAACCGTTATCAAAACTGAGACTAACTCGGCTTAAAAGTACACCCTACCTTTTCCTTTTCCCAGCCTCGAGAAGCCCTTCAACTGTAGAGCTGATTGTACCGTCGGCACCTTCAACTAAGGTTTCCCATGTTCTCGAGACCTCCCATTCTGCGCCTCCACGGTGCTTTCTCCTCTTGGAGCGGGATGCGGACGTAGTCTCTCCGCGAGACCCTGGTAGAAGATTGTTTTCATCCTCATCCTCAGAGATTTCTCCTATGTACTCTTCATCGGAATCGACCATGCTTGCACTAAAAGGAAGCGAGTGCGTCAACCCAAGAGTGCGTCGGGTGTCATGAAAGTTAGAATGGAAAGGTCTATCTAGGCATGTATCCACATTGTTGGATTCGGTTCCAGCAGGGAGGGTCCGAGCTCCGCCGGAGCTCCGTTCCCTACCTTCGATTCCTCATGAACCAAAGGCCTATCTAGCAGTTGCTATTCTCTTCCCTTTTCTCTTTATTTCCTTATCAATTCATCCTCGCATTCCTTACTACTTTCTCACTTATCTCAATTCTATAATACTAACCTTCCTGTCTAGGTCTTTTTTTTTTTTTTTTTTTTTTTTTTTTTTTTTTTTTTTTTTTTTTTTTTTTTTTTTTTTTTTTTTTTTTTTTTTTTTTTTTTTTTTTTTTTGGATACCTACCCTTTTATCTACTCTGAGCTCCCTTGTGGTCAAAGAAAGTCTGCTTCGTAACCTGAAGATTAATCAGCTACACTTCGTATTGCTACGACGGTGTACTACAATAATTAATGAGCTGCTCCGAGAGTAACCGTAGGTAGGCAGACTTGGCTCCGTCCTAAAAATGTGGGGAAGAAGATGCATCGCGTCAACCCGACGTGGTGGTATGAATGCTCATGCAGTCCGTGGTCAATCTCCAATTTATCGTCCGGTCCGACCAGCTTCCCACCTCTGCCCCTCCTCCTCCTCCTCCACCAGCACTTCTTTCTGCCCCTCCTTCATCTCTTCGTCACGCTCCCGCTCCCTTTCCGGATTGCCCTACTCGACATACCTACAGTCTACCCGTAGGGTCAAACCTGCTGTATTGTCACCCGTTTCTGTAAGGCACTGTTCATCTGAAATCCGCGCAATGGCATCTAAGGACAGAGATATCCTTCCGGACGTGTAAGTTACCGATCGCCAACAGCTGAGTATCGTGCACCCATCTGTTGATGTTTCTCTAACAATCGCTGGCAGGGTCAAGCCTGTTCATTACAATGTGTCTTTGTTTGACCTTCAGTTCGGTGGCTCATGGGGTTATAAGGGTACCGTCAAAATCGATTCCAAGGTCAACCGTCCCACAAAAGAGATCGTGTTGAACTCGAAGGAAATCGAAGTCCAGGATGCCGAAGTTTTTGGAAATGACGGTTAGTGACAGAGCCACACTCCAATTTCTCCTGATCCATTTGTAATCCATGATCGAATGTTGAGTTTGACAAATTGGTTGCACTTAGGGACCAAGCTGGCAAAGGCATCTAATATCGCTTACGACACCAAATCGGAAAGAGTCACCTTTACCTTTGCAGAAGAAATACTCCCCGCAGATGTTGTCCTGTCAATCAATTTCACCGGTATAATGAACAATGCCATGGCTGGATTTTCCCGCTCCAAGTACAAGCCGGTGGTGGATCCGACCGACGATACTCCCAAGGATGGAGATTCCTATTACATGCTTAGTACCCAATTCGAATCTTGTGATGCTCGTAGGGCCTTCCCTTGCTTTGATGAACCGAATCTGAAGGCCACATTCGACTTCGAGATCGAGGTTCCCCGAGGTCAAACAGCCCTTAGCAACATGCCTATCAAGTCTGAGAGGAGCGGCAGCAGGCCAGAGCTCAAGTTGGTCTCTTTTGAAACTACACCTGTTATGAGTACTTACGTCAGTATGCACGATACTTGCTTATGATCCTCGGCGCTAACTTTGGAGATCCTCCGTTCAGCTTCTGGCATGGGCAGTCGGTGACTTTGAATACGTTGAGTCAATGACTCAACGCAAATACCAAGGCAAGAGCATACCTGTTCGCGTGTATACGACCAAGGGCCTCAAGGAGCAGGCTCGCTTTGCTTTGGAATGTGCCCATCGTACAGTCGATTACTTCTCTGAAATCTTTGAGATCGAGTATCCGTTGCCTAAGGTGGATCTCCTTGCTGTCCATGAATTTGTACGGAAATTGATCCTGTTGCAGACGAAGCGAATATGCTAACCGCAAATACTCTAGGCTATGGGTGCCATGGAGAACTGGGGGCTTGTTACCTACCGAACGACTGCTGTTCTTTTCGATGAGGGCAAGTCAGACACCAGATACAAGAATCGTATTGCATATGTCGTCGCGCATGGTTTGTCGTCCCTTCCAATCTGAGCGGCCTTGTTCCTTCTTAACGGGTGTAATCTAGAATTGGCGCACCAATGGTTTGGAAACCTCGTAACGATGGATTGGTGGAATGAGTTGTGGCTCAATGAGGGCTTTGCAACATGGGTTGGCTGGCTTGCTGTGGATCATTTCTATCCAGGTATCCGATGGCCCCAGGCGCTTACAGAACCAGAAAAGCTGACGATTTTCTTGCAAATAGAATGGAACATCTGGTCTCAGTTTGTCGTACGCAATTCTCGAGGTAAATGCAGTCCTGTGTGGCAGAATATTGACTTTTGCATAGGCTGAGAGTGTCCAACAAGCATTTCAACTCGATTCACTGCGAGCTTCCCACCCGATCGAGGTGCCCGTGAGGAACGCTCTCGAAGTCGATCAAATTTTTGATCATATCAGCTACCTCAAAGGAAGCTCGGTCATTCGGATGCTAAGTGATCATCTTGGCCGGGAAACATTCCTGCGTGGAGTAGCCGCATATCTCAAAGCTCATGCATATGGCAAGTACACATCGAAGACGTATAGGGAATCGGGCTTGCTAATTACTGACAACTTCAGGTAATGCCACCACTAATGATCTTTGGAGCGCTCTCAGCAAAGCGTCTAATCAGGATGTTACTAGCTTTATGGTGAGTTATCTTGTTGTACAGACTGGACTACTATTCTGACTTCATTACGAAGGATCCCTGGATTCGCAAGATTGGCTTCCCTGTAGTCACCGTAACCGAGCAAGCCGGCCAACTCAGTGTTCGTCAAAGCCGCTTCTTGTCGACGGGTGATGTTAAGCCCGAGGAAGATGAGACGGCCTGGTGGATTCCCCTTGGTGTAAAATCAGGACCTAAGATGGCCGACGTAAAACCCGGTGCTCTTGTTTCCAAGGAAGATACAATTGGGGGGCTCGGACAGGATTCCTATTACAAGCTGAACAAAGACCTGTCTGGCTTTTACCGAACCAATTACCCTGCTGATCGGCTGGCGAAACTCGCTCAGTCTCTGGAACTGCTGAGCACCGAGGATAAGATTGGATTGATTGGCGATGCCGCTGCCCTAGCTGTTTCTGGCGACGGATCCACTGCTGCTCTATTGGCTCTCTTAGAGGGTTTCAAGGGCGAGAAGAATTATTTGTGAGTAACTAATTATGATGTCCTTCATTCGTTCTCGGGTTTCAACAATCCTTATGCTTCATGGTTGGTTCTTAACGACTTGCATAGGGTCTGGTCCCAAATCTCTTCCACTATTGCGAACTTACGCTCTGTGTTCGCCCTGAATGAGTCGGTAGCAGCAGGACTCAAGAAGTTTGCCCTCGAGCTTTCATCCCCTGCTGCTAACAAAATCGGCTGGGAATTTAGCTCGGAGGATGACTATCTCACTATCCAGCTCCGTAAGCTTCTAATCGGAATGGCTGGCCGTGCGGGCCACAACGAGTAAGTCTATTAGGAGATGTTGTACGCTTTTCTTGCAAATCTAACTTTTTGCTAGCATAATATCCGAGGCCGAACGACGATTTGAGCTTTGGAAATCAGGCAGCGATAAGGATGCTGTGCATACCAACCTCCGCTCAGTGATCTTTAGTATCGTGATTTCAGAGGGCGGTCGTGAAGAATACAATGCTGTAAAGCAAGAGTATCTCAAGACCGACTCCGTTGACGGCAAGGAGATTTGCTTAGGAGCTCTTGGACGTACTAAAGATGCTGAGCTGGTAAAGGATTACTTAGATTTTGTTTTCTCAGACAAGGTTGCCATCCAGGATATTCACAATGGCGCGGCTTCAATGGCTACGAATCCCTCGACTCGCCACCTTCTATGGGATTATATGAAAGAGAATTGGGCGGCCGTTGAAACTCGCTTGTCAGCGAACAATGTCGTTTTCGAGCGGTTTGTGCGTATGGGACTGTCCAAATTCGCGAACCACGATATCGCAGCCGATATTGCTTCGTTTTTCCGGGAGAAGGACACTGGTGCGTACGATCGCGCCCTGGTAATCGTTGCTGATAGCATCCGAACGAATGCACGCTACAAGGAAAGAGATGAGAAGCAGGTCTTAGAGTGGCTTCGGGGCCATGGCTACGCTTGATCCTCTTGGGCGAAGGCAAATGTTTTTGACAGTTGTGTGTTCCAATAGGTGAATATGGTGCCTTGTGATCAAGATACCTGCCATTTGTGAATCATCTGAGTACTAGAGCTTCATAAAAGCTAAACATCTGACTTGTAGTCGTCTTGATGCATGACGGAATGTCTTTCGTCTAGAGAGGCGAAGGTGAAACACTTGGTGTTCCGGTGCTTCTCTGGCTTGCACATGTGACGGGAGAGGGCCGGCACTACTTAATACTATATAGCTAGTCGACATAAGTACCAGTTTGCATCGTTCTTTCCGGGAAAACCACAGATATGTTACCTAGAGGAAAGGGGTGGTACCCAGTCACCTAGACCTGTTAAAACCGGAATGCACATTGTACAACCCAGTAGGACTGAGTACTATCTACTACATAGGCCCGTCCCTAGTAGTATCTATTTATTTGCATTTGCATGTGGCTGTTAGTGTCTCTGATTGGTGCATTAGACTGACTTGGGTCATGGGTCTGGGGCGGGCGAGCGTGAAACGGTCATTCCCACCCAGGAGGTCCACACTAGGCAGGAGACAGACTAGCGCCATTATTGGAACCTGCACGTTGGGCTCGCCTGCTCTCCTGCAGTCAGCAACGCAACCGCCATTTCAAGAGACCGCTCGGTCATCTCATTAAGTAGACACTCAAGTATCGTTTACTACATCGGCTTGTTGCCACGCCTAATACCTTTGTCCTGTAACTTCAGCTCTCCACCTTTTCATCAAACAACTCTCTTAATTTCGCCTACGTTGACGTGCCGTCCAAGTGCTCCATCATGAACCCCGAGTGGTAAGTGCCCTTGATCGTCTGTATTTGGCCTACAGCTCATCAGGTTCTGGCGATTCTCCCCCCTTGCCATGATGGCACTACGTCTTTTCATCCACAAATTTCTTGTTTCTTGTTTTTCGTGCTAATTTGAATCGCTATTAGAGCCTCCACGATCCTCCGTCTCTCCCATGCTTTACTTGGCCGGCGCGGCCCTCTGTGTGCGTATCGATCCATATGCTAATAATTTGGCTAGATACGATTATCTTTTCAAGTTGCTCCTCATCGGAGACTCTGGTGTCGGAAAGTCGTGCTTGCTCCTACGTTTTGCCGACGATACCTATACGGAGAGCTACATCTCCACCATCGGAGTTGACTTCGTACGTATCTGGCCTCTCATTATTCATCACAGCTGCTAGCAGTGAACTGCGTCATAGATCCACATCTAACGTTCCAATACAGAAAATTCGTACCATCGAGCTGGATGGAAAGACGGTGAAACTCCAGATCGTAAGGCAGCCCCGTTCACAACAGTCGCTCACCTGGCTTAACTAACGGGCGCTCTAGTGGGATACTGCAGGCCAGGAACGTTTCCGGACAATCACGTCGTCTTACTACCGTGGTGCCCATGGCATCTGTGTCGTCTACGATGTTACCGACATGGACTCTTTCAACAATGTGAAGCAGTGGCTTCAAGAGATTGATCGCTACGCCACTGAAGGTGTCAATAAGCTCCTTGTCGGAAACAAGAGCGATATGGAAGACAAAAAGGTCGTGGAATACACAGTGGCTAAGGTATGTGGCCAGACCTTGGTGTGGGACTCTTCATTTCTGGCAGAGTGGGTGATTGACGCAATGTGTTGTTGGTTTAGGAATTCGCCGACAGCCTTGGGATCCCGTTCTTGGAAACCTCGGCGAAGAACGCTTCGAATGTCGAGCAGGCTTTTTTGACAATGGCGAGGCAGATCAAGGAACGCATGGGCACTGCGACTGTCAACAACAAGCCAACTGTGCAGGTTGGCCAAGGCCAGGGCGTTCAATCCGGCTCCGCGGGCGGCTGCTGCTAGACTATTGATGATCCTAATCCCGCGTTGCATTACGCCATATTGAGACTGTGTGAAAATTTGGTGATTAAAGAAGAGGAGCGATGAGGGAGGCTACCTGCTGCACCCTGCTGCCGGGCAGTCTTTCTCGAATGCCAGCATTATCTCAAATGTTCTATGCTGGTAATGGTCACCGGGAGTAGTTTTCTTTTTTATGCTTTAGAAGGCTTTCGTTTCGTCTTATACATGGTGCACTATGGATAATTTTGTGTCAGGTTTTCCCTTTCCTCCTCTCGGTCATCTATCATCCCCTCCCTATCTTTTCCTGTCACTATTGTCTTGCTCGTGGCCTTTCTCTAACTCGAAGCATTTTCTATCTGGTTCGTTGAGTTTTCTTTAGTTGGATCCGTTGCGTGATTATGTCTGGGTCAATTAATGCAGAAGTTAATGATACTTAGTGAATATGGTTATCTGGCAAATAAAAATCAGAGCTTACTCGCTTTCCCGCTTCATTTACTCGGACTTTACCGTTATGGTGGAAAAGAAGTTGTAGGATATGTAGAGTACTTGCTAACGCTTCTTATCCTTGACTAATGGCAACTGTGTCGGATTTACACTTTCATTTATCTAGGACACATTGTCTTGCTCTAGCTGATTCATATGTCGAATTTTAGTAGGTAACAAGTGAACAAGGTTCGTTTGTCGCGAATAGGTTGTTTTGTGCGAGGATTTAATAGACCAAATGTACTCTGCGCAGGAATGTCACATGCCATACATGCCTTCCCTAGCAGTTTCTGATGCCTTCATGCCTAGGTAGTCCCTCTCACTCTTCAACTGTGACTGGGCTCTAGACCTATATCTAGTTATTGTTAGAATAGTAGATACTAATACGATCCGCTTGATCTGGAAAGCAAAGGACTCTTATTCTAGATACTTGCTATTGTATCAAAAAGTTCGATTGAAATGTGGAGGATGAGTATTACAAGGGTAGATGAAACACGTGAAGCGGATCTGCCATTTACCGGTAAACATCAGTCCCTTAGTTTATATTGTTTTTTTCTCCCCAATAATTCACCCAGGAGGATGGAGCATCCCCAATAATTCAGCTAAATTTCATATGGCATGAGCGTTGATCCGATCAGCTGATGAGGGTCTCCCATCAGCCGAGGCACAGGCTTCGGCAAACGTCATGTAAACCATCACCCCCAATCCAGAGCCGAGTCTTTCTCGCACCCGACATCGAAACAGTCCCTACTCCATTCGTCTCAAGGCCTACATATCTACCCCTTTCTTCCTTTTCTGCAGTCATTCCTTGCGACCCTCTCGGGCAAATTTATTGAATTGTCGCTAGTTCCACTTACCGTCTTGTTCATACTCACTTGTCAAAGCAATTCGTATCGCATCTATAAGGATCCGAGGTACCGATTTACGTGCACCGTCATAGTACAATATCGGCCGGCTTTCTTGACGCACCTATTCCCGCTAGGAAAAGAGAACCACCGCGCTATCAATCATGTCTCAATCTAATATCGAAGGGCAAAAGAAGGCGGTTGCGGTATCCGCTGCAGTCCAGCAAAGTGACAACATGGCACATGCATTGGCGGGCGCTGGAGGCGGTATTCTGTCGATGCTCTTGACGTGCGGCAACACCTCCCGTTAATGAAATCAACGTTGACATCCCATATGTTGTAGTTACCCGCTGATAACCCTCTCAACGAGAGCGCAAGTCGAGTCCAAGCGTGCCCATTCCACGACGTACGACGCTATACGCCGCATCATTCAACGAGAGGGGGTTTCGGGGCTCTATTCCGGCCTTGAATCTGCGCTTTTTGGCATCAGTGTCACGAACTTCGTCTACTACTACTGGTACGAATGGACGCGCTCGGCTTTCGAAAAGGCGGCTGCGCGGGCTGGGCGGTCCTCAAAGAAGCTCACAACGTCGGAGTCAATGATCGCGGGGGCCATCGCTGGGAGTGCGACAGTCCTCATCACAAACCCAATATGGGTTGTAAACACTAGAATGACAGCCCGCAAGTCCGAGTCGGAGCAAGAAACATTGCCAGGGGCTCCCTCCAAGAAGTCGCGGGCATCCACAATCAGTACATTGATGGACTTGCTCCGGCAAGAGGGGCCCAAGGCCCTCTTTGCTGGTGTTCTTCCGGCTCTTATATTGGTTATCAACCCGATCCTACAGTACACAATCTTTGAACAGCTGAAGAATATTCTGGAGCGTCGTAGACGTATGACGCCAAAGGATGCGTTCTATCTTGGGGCTCTTGGTAAGATACTGGCAACTTCGATTACCTATCCTTATATCACAGTGAAGAGCCGCATGCATGTTGCCAGTAAAGATGGTCCTAAAGAAAGTTTGAACGGGAGTTTGAAGAGAATTGTTAAAGAAGAGGGTTTTGTGGGTCTGTACAGAGGTATAGTATTGACAATTGGGGATCCATGCAAACTTCAGCTAACATCACATGACAGGCATTGGGCCGAAGGTCACACAGAGCGCCATTACTGCAGCGTTCTTGTTTGCATTCAAGGATGTTCTTTATGACCTTATGGTCTCTCTACGGAAGAGGAACCGAGCAATTTCCAAGTAAAAACTGGAGAAGAAACTCATCTAGCACCATTGCCAAAGAATCAGTATGACTTTGAACCAGAGATTTATACTTACTGATTTCCATCACCGTGTGCCTTGAGCCAGACCACCGCTTTTTTGTCAATGGTTTGGATATGCTCCGTACCCAAATGTACTCTTATTTGCTTCGGCACAGCGTTCTTCTTCTTCTCCTTCTCCTTCTTCTTCTTCTTCTTCTTCTTCTTCTTCTTTCTTTTTGGCCGATCTGAGGAATCGAGATGTCTAGTTTTTGCAATATATGCAGTACTAAGCCTTTCTGATCGGACCTGATCCCTATTCGATCGCACTAATAGATTGATCGGTTGATGATGGATACGTGATCATGGCATCCCGCTGTAGTGGCTGTAGGCTCATCATTCAGTGAAAGAAGAAGTTTGGCCTGAGCCCTTGGGGTTTAGTCCCGTCGACCGTGTAAAGGCTCCGGCTAGTAGCATCGGTAGAGAACATTAGAACACTCTACTACTTTGTGCCATTTACTAGGTATGAAGCTACTATCTACTCGATACGGAACCGCGGCTCGATTGCGTGGCTGACCCTAACGCGCCTAATCCGTTGCCGCCAGACCGCCTGCCTTTTACAAGAATATAGAGCACTTATCCAGCGCGTTCGCGCGTCGCAATCGACATGCAGGATATATTCTACTATGTTCTTCTACTGCCACCCTCAGAAGTGAGGCTCAGGTGAGGCCCAAGTGAGGTCTGTACGAGTGATGACTATTCGAAGCTGTGTGAGCCCCTGCTGGACTTATGTAATCATGCTGGGGAGAGTTCTAGTCCTTCCCCTCATATAGTGTTTGTTCCCCGCCAGGCCATCAGAATCCCATTTGTGTTAGAATAAGCCATTCACCGGCTCTCCGCTGACTGTTGACCCCTCATGCTAGCGCTACGGCAAATACCTCATCCCAAATACTTCCCAGTCTGATTCAATTCCAGTGCTGGCACTCATTGACAGATCCATTGATCGACATGTGCCCGCAAACTCAGTTGTCTTGGTTTGGTATACCTAGTTGGAGACAAGTTATCTGCGCATAATGCCCCGTATACACGCGCCAGAGGAATCTGATGAGGAAGCCCGGCTTCTCCTTTTGCAGTTTATGAGAGGCCCCTCCCACCAAATACGAGGACCTCCAGCTGGAAGTCGCAGTGATCAAAACCTTGCCCCAGAAGATTGCTCCAGTATTGGGGAGGATATTCAGAAAAGCGTTAAAAAGCGTGGCCGGCGGCCTAAGACGTCTAAGACGCGTGTTGAAGCTAGATCATCACCAGTGATCACTGGCGAGCAACGCATGACATCCAGCACACCGCAAACACCGGATCCCTTGTACTTTCCCCAGCAGGATAGGCAAAATACTGCATCGTCACCTGGAGATGGACATAGAATATCTAGTAACCGACGCTCTAGGCGTGCAAGGACAGGCCCGAACAACTATTACGATAAGACCAACTACTTGGGGTTCGGCTCCGATGAAGAAGTCAGCGAAAGCTCTGCCAGGCCGTCTCCTACCACATCCCGACAGCCCCGGTTTCCTAACATTGCACCTGAACCAAAAACTTCGTCATGCTCTCATGATCGAAATGAGCAGGCCCATGTCATCTATTCTGCACCTCATGTCCAGATTCTCAAGTCGTCGTTCTCAACTCTAGATGATTTGAGTGTATCGGAGCGTGCTTGCTACTCATCAGTGCGTAGCCCATCAGAGTACGCCTTGAAGTATCTGAGCAAGCCGCCGCTGGCCGATGAGATTCTCCATGTTGACTTTGACAGAACCGAAACGGCAGCTGTCTTGGACTTGTTCTCGTTCTACGGCTTTCAGAAATACGAGAAGATCGAAATCGCGCTTTCGGATCAGGTTATCCAGGCTGCTCATATCTATGATATCTCACAGAGGGGCTCTGAGAAGATTTGGTGGGTATGTGAGCTTGCGCAGATCATATCCACTCAGGGAATCGAGGGAATAGATGATAGCCATAAATGGCTTCTAGAAGTGATGGCACCTAACCAAAAAGACAAGCAAAAACGACAAGCCAGACGCCTGGTAAAGAAAATTTTGGGGTTAGCCCAGGACACTTCTCAACATAGTCCATTGCTCTTTTCTGAAGATCAGCTTTGGGGGTTGTCCAGGGTCCTACCCTCCGCTCTGGTGCTCAGACGGCGTGGACCTACTGATATAGACTCATTTATTGCTGATGCAAGAAGAGGCTGCCTTCCATCCAACCCTTGTGTTATAAAAGCTACCGCATCGGGGTCAGGATGCGTAGAGATGAGTGGGTCGTTGAACAAAATCTTGCAGCGCCGTGAGCTGGGGCATCGTGTAAACCGTCAGCTTCATTCCACTATCAACGAAGGTTTTAGGCTTGCAAAAACTTGGAGAGATGCCTCGAATGATGTGATTGTCCTGGCTTGGGCACCTGATGGCACGAAATTTGCCGCAGGCGCGACAGCACAATGTGACGAGCATAATATGCAATATAACCGAAATAATAATCTAGTTGTTGGTGATGTTGTCAACAATATTTTGATGGAAATGCCAGACCATTATGTCCTTCGGCCCCCAGGTAGGACCGCAGCAAGCCGGACTCTTCATGATCCCCGTCTCTGGATGAGCGTTACTTCCGTCGAGTGGTGGGAAGATGCACTCTTTACTGCTAGCTACGACAATACAGTGAAGATATGGAATGCTTCCGGTCGAGATATATCGTGCCGCAAAACTCTTCAGCATGACTCCAAGGTGGAGGTTATGGCTCGCTCCCTTTATGAACGGAATTTGCTCGCAACCGGCACACGCTCAATAGGGCTTTGGACATTGGCAGAGTCAACTCACAATCTCCTAGAGCTGCCTAGGGCGCGATCCAAAAAGGACAGAGAGCTGGTACCTACTTCTTTAGCATGGGGAACCATTAAGGAGACCGGAAATATTCTGCTTGCCGGGATGTGTGAAAAGGGTGACGGTACACTGCAGACAGGTCTGTTGGCAGGCTGGCGAATAGGCGAGGCATCAATAACACCTATGCAATTTTCCCCAAACTCTCAGAACATGTTTGACATTAAATGGCATCCCACCTTGCCAATGTTTGCAGCAGCAACATCGATAGGTCATGGCCCTGCCAACAAGGCCTACAAGGATACCAGATCCCTAGTCCGAATGTATCAACCCTTGTCATCGAAAGTCTGCACCATGGAGTTTGAGTGTCCGGCGCTAGATATCAACGACGCCCATATTTGCCCCATGAACCCAAGTTACGTGACAGCCAGCTGCACTGATGGAGTTACCTATGTTTGGGACCATCGACGCCCAGACCGAATTCTTCACAAGCTCCAACACGGAGAGCCCCTAAATCAGATAGATGAAACAATCAGCAGGGAGCAAGCCGATGTTGGTGTCCGTTTGTCTCTATGGGGTGATCGAATTGACGAGTTCTACACTGGGTCCTCCGACGGAGTTTTAAAGAGATGGGATATTCTTAGAGCCCCGGAAGATGTGCTCGTCCAAGATACGGCCAGATTTGACGAGGAGATTATGTGCGGTGCCTTTTCCAACGATAAGTCCAATCTGTTGGTCGGCGATGCTGCTGGGGGCGTCCGTCTCTTATCACCCGGCCCCTTTACAAGCAATGGGGGTCTTTCTATGGAGTTCAAGCCTTCGTCGTTACAGCCTCAATTGCAGATGCGTCCTGATGGGCATGTATCTAACCCTGAGTCAGGTATTAAGGCAGGTGCAGATCTCCTGGAGTCCGGGAAGCTCACCAGGCACCCGATATTCGGAGTTGGACAAGGACCATACTATGATGGCCCCTTTGCAGCCTGGGCTCGTCCAGAAAACATCCCTGAGTGTGAGATTGCACAAGCCCGCTTGAAGGAAGAGGTGCAGCTACGGCAACTTGAAGGTCCGCCCCCGGAATGCAGGATCGGGTTAGATACAGCGTCCCAGCAGGATGTTAACGCGCAGATCAAGCTCGCACCTATTCGGAACAAGCGGCGCTATCAGAACAAAAGAACACGAGATGGGCTTGCAGAGCCTCTTGCATATGGCAGGACAAATGCCGTTAATCTCGTTGGCGATGTACCCGACGAATTCAAGCGCAGGTTACATCATGTTGTATCACCACCAGGTTCTATGCCACCGAACACTGAGGTCATTGAACTAGTCGGGGACACTGACACGGAATGGAAGACCGGCTCGAATGTTATCCATTTCGCTGGATTCAAAACGGCCCTAGAAGAAGTAGAAGAGGAACTCGAGGAAGACTTCTGGTGGCCGCCCAGTGGCACCATCGATGCAAACATCCGAGAAGTTGACGGTATTTAGTCTGGAGCCTGGCGAAATCGGTTGGGAGAACGCTGATCCTATCACTGGCCCTCAGCTTCCTGCGGCAGGAAAGTCATTCCTCCATGATGAATGATGTCAACGGTGTGCCGGCCAATTACATCACGTGGCTGAGCAGCGCCACGGGGCATTGCTGGGTGGCTTTACTTCGATATCCGTACCTTAGATTCTAGTCGGCACTACATATATGTCTCACAAATTCCAACTCTTTGGCCATTATAAACTTGCTACTTCAACTGTGTTGGCAGCGCTCAAGCCTTAGCCGACCCATTTCCAGACCCCATCTCTGCATATTTGATCGTCAAATCACCACAGATGTCATTTGCTCCTCCCTCCGGGCCCCCGCCTCCTTCAGTCCCTGAAGGATGGAAAGCCCAATTCGACGACCGATATAAGCAATGGTAAGCCCCTAACTTACGTCTCCGCCGAGACATCTTACACACACCACCCCCCCCAAAAGTTGCGGATACATGTGTTTGCCTGTAAGCCGAAACTAACGCCTGCCATAAAGGTTCTATGTAGATCTACGCACCGGCAGATCGCAATGGGAGCGTCCCGAAGGACCAACTTACATGGAAGACTCGCAGAGACCACCCAGCGGGCCACCGCCGTCATACGATGCCTCAGGTCCTGGTGATCGACCTGCTTCAGCGGCCGCCGGCGACAAGAAACCGCTGGGCTCAAGAAATCCGTACAATAGCCAACCGGATTCTACATTAGAGAGCGATGCCCGCTTAGCTGCTCAGTTACAGGCTGAAGAAGAAGCCCGAGCTCGTCGCAGAAGTCCGGTACCACCAGCACAGGCACAATCTGGAGCTGCGTCCGATTACTATGCTGAGAACTCCCGCGTGCAGTCCCCCCAGGGATCATCAACATCACCCGCACCCAAACAGGAGCGGAGCAGGGGCTTTTTGGGCAAGTTAATGGGGAGACACTCTGGCGGTAGCAGCAGCGGTGGTGGTGGTGGTGGTGGTGCGAGTTACAGTCGGCCACCGCAGCAAGCAGCCTATGGGTATCCTCAGGCCGGATACGGTGGGTATCCTCCACAGCAGGCGGGGTATGGTTATCCTTCGTATCCGGCACAGGGTGGCTATTATCCACAGCAGCAGGCGCCGCAGCGGCGACATAATGGCATGGGAACTGCGGGGGCTGCGGCGTTAGGTGTTGGGGGTGGTTTGCTGGGTGGCTTATTGTTGGCGGATGCTGTTGAGGATCTCGGACATGATTTTGATGGTCCGCCTCCGGGTGATTTTGGTGGTGGTGATTTTGGTGGAGGGGATTTCGGTGGCGATGACTTTGGGGGTGATTTCTAGGTCGTGTCGTGTGGTGAGCTTCGCTGGACTGCGATTCATGAGTTATGATTACCGGGAGGTTAGCAGTTGTTGATTGCTCTTGTTTTTTGTTTTTGCTTTCTTCTGTTTCTTTTTGCCTGCTTGCCTTCGGAAACGTCGTCTTCTCTGTAGATAGTTTTCTCTTTTTTTTTAGAACCTAATAGCCTATGAAGATGCATGAATAAAGCTATCTCTCTATAGCTAATCGATAATTATATCATTAGTTGTAACTCTATTCTCTTAGTCGGGTCTTCCAGGAACAGGGCCATCAGGGAGCTTATTATAGACGGACACATCAATATCTATCCATAGAGCACACACCGCAATGCACGCATACCACACTGTCCACTAAACCTCCACACGATACTGCTATCATACAATGCTTCAACCTCTTCTCCGTGATGCACCACCGCTCTCCCGGCCCGTTGTAGCAGCCGCCCCTTCAACCGCAGCCGCAGCTTCCGCGCCAGATGCACCGGGTCTAGGAGTAGCACCGGCCATCCAGCCAGCCAGATCGAAGTTCCCGGGAGCCCCACCGCCAGCCATAGCACTCCTGGTTGCGCCTCCGATGGGAGAAGAGCGAGACTGTTTCTCGAATTCGGCGCGCATTTCGGGGTCCACTGATACGAGTGCATGTTAGCAAGAAGCTATCCACAAGATAGACGTTGCGAGAGGAATATAAAACAAGTGAGGTCTAGGGACTTTGGACAGGACTTACTATTCTCCATTAACTTGGGCATTCCAAAGGTGAACCCAAGAGCCACCAAAGCCATCAGGATCATGGGATTCTTGAACAAAGCCAGGGGAGAGACTATATCGATGATTTCAATCCCAGTCAGCAATCTGAATCCAAAACAAGGTGAAATATGAGGTGCAAAGACTCGCGCGTGCGCTCAATGGCTACCAAGTAATTCACTCAATAGACAGACACCATTGCGCACGTATGCTCCTCGTCCTCTAAAGCTAACATCAAGACTTAAGAGGGAACAACTGGGGTGGGAAAACATACACTTCGACCTCTCCTCATAGAACCCTCTCCGGGCCAGAACCTTCGCCTCAACCATTACAGCTTCTTCAGCTCCACTGTTACCACCGCGGGGAGCACTCGCATCAAAGACGAACTTCTCCGCGCCGCGATTATCCCAGGGGTTGCCGCGAAAGGTCTCCCAGATACCCAGGAGAGAGCCATCGGCAGCGACGTCGACGCGGAGCGGAGCGAAAACATACTCCGGTGAGCGGATGTCGAGGAGGTAGGATTCAGGCTTCGAGGAGGCGGGGAGATGGTGGAAGTTGAAGGTTGCGGAGCGGGTGAGGGGTGCAGCGAAGTGGTGATTGTCGTTTGTGTTCTTTGTGAAGGTTGTGAGCGTCGCGTGAGTATTGGCTGAGAGGATATTCGGGTTGGGGAGGATGGTCGAGGGGGGGATGGTGATGGTGAGATGACGGGCGGCGGATGCTGCGGTTGCCAGTGTTGACGCGGAGAGGAGGGAAAAGAGAGAGAAAAGAGAGAGATGCATGATGGGCAACGGATGTTATTCTGACAGGTGCAGCTGGTCAGTGTAGTATGGGAATTGAATGGTGGTAGTGTCCGCAGAGAAATGCGGAGGTTGCTGGTGGACGGTGGAGGTGAAGCTATTCCGATGGATGATCCCAACGGCGGCGCCAGTGCCAAGCGCCGGCCGGCTGACGGTGAAGTCACGGCGCCGCCTGGCATCCTTTCACCTTTACTGCAGCTTGCAACGTCGATTGCAACTTTTTGTCTTTCCGTTAAATCTTGGGCTGGAAATATCTACGCACTCTTCAAATGTTTGAATTGTTATCTTGACGATTCACGCTTCATCTTTGAAGCTTTAGGTAGCACTTGCGCTCCACACCGCTATCTACACTGTGTATCTGGCTCAACCTAGACAGTAAAAGTGCCTATATGCTGCAAACAATGATCAAGATAATAGCATATAATATGTACTTCTAAACGCGGCCGAGGTAAGGGCATATGGCTCCTATTCTCGCCCTGAACTACCCCGAGGACCTGCCCCTCAAATTGAGAACAATATGAACAGCATATGCGTGAAACAAGAGGGCAATAGGTTATATGTACAGTGTAGTCTGGAGGATTTCCCAACAGATGATCCCATACTGCCGGTGGTAAAAGAGATGCACATAGATGAACCCCTCATAGCTTAGCCTTGGGGGCGGACTCTTCAGCCAATGCCTCGGCATAGAGCTCGTCCAAGACCTGACGATACTTCTTTGTGGTGGGCGGACGCTTCAGCTTCAGCCTAGATGGGAGAATTGCAGATTAGTATATATAGTCATAATTGGGACGTGGAGCGGCGGTTTCTTACGTCGGCGTCAGCAGGTTATTCTCAATGGTAAACGGGTCAATCATCAGTGCGCAGTTTTTGATTCTCTCATATCCTGCAAGCTTGTGCTTCTTGGCAATGCGGTTGAGATCTTTCAGCACAGCTTTACGGATCTTGGGGTCGTTAAGTACGGATCTGATGCCCTCGATGTCCGTAGCTTCAATGGTGCGGCCAAGTACCTTGCTGGCAAATACAGCGAAGGTATCGGGCTGGACTCCAAAGATAGCCACCAGGAACGTCTGAACACTATCACCATGGACATAGCCCTGGGCCAAGTAGCCCATTTCCGACATATAAACACCCTCGAGCCGTTCCGGAGAGATATACTCTCCCTGTGCCAGCTTGAGCACATTCTTCCGGCGATCGATGATGACGATACGGCCCATCTCATCAATCTTGCAGACATCACCGGTCCGGAACCATCCATCCTCGGTCACTGCTTTGGCTGTTTCCTCAGGGTCCTTAAAATACTCGCGAAAAACGTTCGCGCCTCGCAGCATTAGCTCACCCCGAGGGTACGGCTTGTCGTCAACGGAATACTCCATATCCGGTAGAGACATCAAGCAAGCCTCCGTAGAAGGAATCAGCCCACCACAGTGGCCAGCGGTCAAGTCCGCGAGGGACTGTACACATGCCATGGCATAAGTCTCAGTCAAACCATATCCCTGAACAACGTCGACGCCAAGAGCAATCCGGAGGAATTGGTGGAGTGAAGGATCCAAAGGCGCCGAGCCGGAAGCCAGCATTCTTGAACGCTCCAAGCCGATGGCAGCCGCAACCTTCTTCGCCCAGATCCGATCATACAAGGCATGTTTTCCCGTGGCTTGGCTAGGGTCAGGGTTCTTCAAGTTTGCGGTCTTTGTAGCGACAATGTGCCTTGACAGTGCGCCTCTAAACCCAGGAGCCTCAACAGTCGAGGCGCGAATAGCATTTCCGAATCGAGTATAGAGGCGCGGAACAGATATGAAACCGGTTGGCTTGAGCAGCTTGAGATCGTCGACGAGCTCTAGGATGTTTCCGTGGAAATATCCAATCCGGGCTCCTGCCCAAAAGGCGGCATGCTCAGACATCCGAGCATAGATGTGAGCCAGCGGAAGATAAGATATAATGGTATCGCCCGCTTTTTGTATGCTGTTGATGAGCGCACCTGAAGCGGATGCGACAGCATTTTCATGTGCCAGGACAACACCCTTCGGGGGGCCGGTGGTACCAGACGTATAGTTGATGGTAATGGTGTCAGAGGGAGCTGGGGGTTTGCAGGGACGATCCACCGAAGCACCCAACTCTTCAA